AGGAGCCAGGAAATCAAAAGGAATCAGGAAAGTAAAGGGAAGGAAGGAGCCTGAGAGAGAGGAACAGTAGGAGTCAAGTGTTACCAAGGATGAAATGGGTAAAATCCAGGTATTTAAATGGGAGGGGAAGAGGGTCTTACAAAGAACCACTGGGGTAAAGGGGAAGAAGAAGCTCAAGAGAATAGGGGGCCATAGGAGACAGGCACTATCAAGGGTGAAAGGGGGAAAATAGGCATACTTTAACTGGGGAGGGAGGAGGGAGGTTAGATAATCTATCTCTTGGTGTAATTACAGGAGCCAGGAAATCAAAAGGAATCAGGAAAGTAAAGGGAAGGAAGGAGCCTGAGAGAGAGGAACAGTAGGAGTCAAGTGTTACCAAGGATGAAATGGGTAAAATCCAAGTATTTAAATGGGAGGGGAAGAGGGTCTTACAAAGAACCACTGGGGTAAAGGGGAAGAAGAAGCTCAAGAGAATAGGGGGCCATAGGAGACAGGCACTATCAAGGGTGAAAGGGGGAAAATAGGCATACTTTAACTGGGGAGGGAGGAGGGAGGTTAGATAGGGAAAGAGGAGAGATAAATAATACTTAACTGATGTGAAAAACCACAGGGAAATGTATTCCTTCAAAAGTCTACTGAAAAATTACACATACAATATCTCTACGTGAGTCTGTGTGCATAGGTGAAGAGGAAATAGTGCCAGACAGGAGAAACCTCCAAGTTATTGCAAGAGACTTTAAAGTTTTCAAAGAACCAGCTCTTAGATTCATTGAATTTTTTTGGATTGTTTTCTTTGTTTCGCTGAACAGAAAAGGCCACAAATAGCCAAAGTGTGGAGAATAAGGGTCTTCAGAGTGTGGGTCCCTGGACAGTACTCCTATATTAATCTTCACCCATCCAGGGCTCAGGGACCATTGTGGAAGAAGGGGTGGACAGATTGTAAGAGCCAGGGGAGGAAGTGCATGATCATGTGGAAACAGAATCTTACAGACTCCTGGGACCTTGCTCATATGAACCTATCGTAACGGTGTCATCATGTACAAGACCCATGCAATCTCAAGCAGATGAAAACCCAGAATATAATTGGGGAAATGGGCAGCAGACCCCAACTTTAGCTGAAGAACTATTGGGAGCTGATTGCTGCTGGGTGAGGGAGAGTTGATTTTTTTTTTTCTTTTTGAGAAAGGGTCCCCCTGTAGCCCCAGTTGGCCCAGGACTTGCTGTGTAGACCAGGCTGGATTTGAACTCACAGAAATCTACCTGCCTCTGCCTCCCAAGTGCTGGAATTAAAGATGTGCACCACCATGCCCAGCTGAGTTGATATTCTTATTTTAAAAAATACTTTATTATTTTTTTCATTTTATGTGTATGTGTGTATTGCCTGCATGTAAGTAAGTGCACCCCTGTCGTGCAATGCCCACAGAAGACAGAAGAGGCTGTCAGATCCTTTGGAACTGGAGTTACTGACAGTTGTTAGCTGCAATGTGGGACCTGGGATTCGAACCCAGGTCTTCTGTAAGAACAGTCAATGTTCTTAACTGCTGAACCATCTCTCCAGCCCCTATATGACAGAATGCATGAAATCTGGTGGGGTGGGCTTTGGGGGGGGTCTGGATGGGAGAGGGGGTATAAAGATTATGAAGATGTTTTGTATGAAATGCACAAAAATTCAATAAAATATACATTAAAAAGATCAAATCTATGACTCATCTTCTGTAAGAACAGTCAATGTTCTTAACTGCTGAACCATCTCTCCAGCCCCTATATGACAGAATGCATGAAATCTGGTGGGGTGGGCTTTGGGGGGGGTCTGGATGGGAGAGGGGGTATAAAGATTATGAAGATGTTTTGTATGAAATGCACAAAAATTCAATAAAATATACATTAAAAAGATCAAATCTATGACTCATAGTTATCAAACATGGAACAGAAACCCATGTCAAAGGAGTACAAGATAATTTCAATAAAATCATGGTAAGGACCAGAAAAGAAACTCCTCACATCACATGATAATGAAAACACCATATGTAAAGAACAAAGTCTACATGGCACAAGGTAATTAAAAGTACCAGACTGGTGGAACTAACCTTCTTGGATGTTTAACAGACATACTTTGAGGTCTATACTAATTTGGTCAGAGAGACTTAAAGGACAGTTTTTGCTCCCTGTCCTCCAAGGTCAACTAAGTTCTAGGGGACTATGGAGCATCTCTCAAAATGTCT